CAGTACTTATACTGTACTGTACAGTACTTATACTGCTGTACTGTACTGTAATTTATACTGCTGTAATTGTACTGTACTTTATACTGCTGTAATTGTACAGTACTTATACTGCTGTATTGCACTGTACAGTACTTATACTGCTGTACTGTACAGTACTTATACTGCTGTACTGTACAGTACTTATACTGCTGTACTGTACAGTACTTATACTGCTGTAATGTACAGCAATTTATACTGCTGTATTGTATAGTACTTATACTGCTGTAATTGTACTGTACAGTTCTTATAATGCTGTACTGTACAGTACTTTAAACTGCTGTACTGTACTTTATACTGCTGTGTAATTGCACAGTACTTATATACTGCTGTACTGTACTGTACTTATACTGCGAATTGCACTGTACTTATACTGCTGTACTGTACAGTATTTATACCGCTGCATTGTACAGTATTTTATACTACTGTACTGTACTACTTATAATCGCTGTACTGTACAAGTACTTATACTGCTGTAATGCCAGTACTTATACTACTGTACTGTACAGCACTTTATACTACTGTACTGTAATTTATACTGCTGTACTGTACAGTATATATCAGTTGTACTGTACAGTGCACTTATACTGCTGTACTCACTGTACAGTACTTATACTGCTGTACTGTATTGTGCAGTACTTATACTGCTTGCACTGTACTGTACAGTACTTATACTGCTGTACTGTAATTGTACAGTACTTATACTGCTGTACTGTACAGTACTGTACTGTGCAGTACTTACTGCTGTAAATTGTACAGCACTTATACAGCTGTACTGTACGTATAGTACTTTATACTGCTGTACTGTACAGTACTTAATTGCTGTACTGTACTGTATAGTACTTTATACCTGCTGTACAGTACTTATATTGACTGTACTGTACAGTACTTATACTACTGTAATTGTAATTTATACCGCTGTACTGTACAGCTTTCGCTGTACTGTACCTACAGTACTTATACTGCTGTACTGTACAGCAATTTATACTGCTGTACTGTACAAGTACTTATACTGCTGTACTGTACAGCACTGTACGTGCAGTACTTATACTGCTGTACTGTACTGTACAGTACTTATACTGTTGTACTGTATAGTACTTATAATTGCTGTACTGTACAGTACTTATACTGCTGTACTGTACAGTACTTATACTGCTGTAATTGTACTTATACCTCAGTAATTGTACAGCACTTATGTTGCTGTTGTACCGTACAGTACTTATACTGCTGTACTGTACTGTACAGTACTTATACTGTTTGTACTGTACAGCACTTATACCGCTGTACTGTACAGTACTTTATATACTGCTGTTCTGCAATTTATACTATTACTGTACCGTACAGCACTTATACTACTGTACAGTAATTTATACTGCTGTACTGTACAGTAAGTTTTATATGCTGTAATTCTGTACCGTACAGTACTTATACTGCTGTACTGTACAGCAATTTATACTGCTTGTTCTTGTACTTATACTACTGTACTGTACAGTACTTATACTACTGCACAGTACTTTTATACTGCTGTACTGTACAGTACTTATACTACCGTACGTATATGCTGTACTGTACAGTACTTATACTGCTGTACTGTACTGTACAGTACTTTATACTGCTGTAATTGTACTTATATCTGTTGCACTGTACTGTACTTATACTGCTGTACTGTACAGTACTTATACTGTTGCAATTGATTGCATTTATACTGTCAGTACTGTACACTGTACAGTACTTATACTGCTGTACTGAAGTACTTATACTGCTGTACTGTACAGTACTTATAATTGCCATAACGATATTATACGCTGCACTGTACAGTACTTATATTGCGATTGTACAGCACTTTATACTGCCGTACTGTACTGTATATGTATTTATACTGCTGTACTGTACTGTACTTATATTGCTGTACTGTACAGTATCTATATTGTTGTACTGCATGTTAATTTATATCGTTGTACTTGATAAAGTACTTATACTGCTGTACTGTAATGTATAGTACTTATACTGCTGCAATTGCATAAGTACTTATACTGGCTGTACTGCAGTACAGTACTTATATTGCTGTACTGCACAGTACTTATAATAGCTGTACTGTGCAGTACTTATATTGCTGTACTTGCATACAGTTTTATATTGCTGTACTGTACAGTACTTATACTGTTGTACTGTACAGTACTTATACTACTGTACTGTAATGTATAGTACTTTATAATGCTGTACTGTACAGTAGTTATAATTGTTGTACTGTACAGCACTTATACTGATGTACTGCACAGCACTTATATCTGCTGTACTGTACAGAATTTATACTCTGTACTGTACTGTATAGTACTTATACTGCTGTACTGTACAGTAGTTATACTGCTGTACTGTACATATTTTATACTGCTGTACTGTACAGTAGTTATACTGCTGTATTGTACTGTATAGTACTTATACTGCTGTACTGTACAGTAGTTATATTCTGCTGTACTGTACAGTAGTTATACTGCTGCAATTGTAACGTATAGTACTTATATTGCTGTACTGTACAGTAATTATACTGTTGTACTGTACAGTACTTATACTGCTGTACTGTACAGCACTTATACTGTTGTACTGTACAGTACTTATACTGCTGTACTGTACAGCACTTATATTGCTGTACTGTACAGCACTTATACTGCTGTACCGTACAGTACTTATATTGCTGCACTGTACAGTATTTATACTGCTGTACTGGTACAGTACTTATACTGCTGTACTGTAGCAGTAGTTATACTTGCTGCACTGTAAATGTATAGTACTTATACTGCTGTACTGTACAGCATTTTGTACTGCTGTACTGTACAGCACTTATACTGCTGTACTTGCAGCACTTATACTGCTGTACTGTACAGTACTTATAATTGCTGTACTGTACAGCACTTTATATTGTTGCACTGTACAGTACTTATACTGCTGTACTGTACAGTAGTTATCTGTTGCACACTGTACAGCACTTATACTGCGTTGTATTGGTACAGCACTTATACTGCTGTACTGTACTGTATAGTACTTATACTGCTGTACTGTACAGTGCTTATACTGCTGTACTGTACAGCACTTATACTGCTGTACTGTACAGTACTTATACTGCTGTACTGTACAGTACTTATACTGCTGTACTGTACAGTACTTATACTGCTGTACTGTACTGTACTGTACTTATACTGCTGTACTGTACAGTACTTATACTGCTGTACTGTACAGCACTTATACTGCTGTACTGTACAGTACTTATACTGCTGTACTGTACAGCACTTATACTGCTGTAATTGTACAGTACTTATACTGCTTGCACTGTACAGCACTTTATATCGTTGCATTGGTATGTGCATTTATACTGCTGTACTGTACTTATATACTGCTGTACTGTACAGCACTTTATACTGCTGCAATTGTACAGTACTTTATACTGCTGTATCTGCAGTACTTAAACTGCTGTACTGTACAGTACTTATGCTGCTGTACTGTACAGTACTTATACTGCTGTACTGTTCAGTATTTATACTGCTGTACTGTTCAGTATTTATACTGCTGTACTGTACAGTACTTATACTGTTGTAATGTACTTATACTGCTGTAATGTACTTATACTGCTGTACTGTACTGTTCAGTACTTATACTGCTGTATTGTACTTATACTGCTGTAATGTACTTATACTGCTGTACTGTACTGTTCAGTACTTATACTGCTGTACTGTACTTATACTGCTGTACTGTACAGTACTGATACTGCTGTACTGTACTGTACTTATACTGCTGTGTTGTACTGTTGAGTACTTACACTGCTGTGCTGTACTGCTGAGCACTTACACTGCTGTACTGTACAGTACTTATACTGCTGTACTGTCCTGTTCAGTACTTATACTGCTGTACTGTACTTTTCAGTACTTACACTACTGTACAGTACTCTACTGGTGGTTGTTTTGAGCCATTGTACAGTAATGTTTCTCTACTACAGTATTACTAGTAGATGATATACAGTTTAATATTTTGTTAATAAATGCTATACAGTTGTACCCCACTTAACGCGGTCAATTGAACCCAGAGGGTCCCGAGTTATGAAACCGCGTTAAGTGAATAACAGAACATATGGGATTAATTCCAATAGAACCCAGCCCGACCCCCAAACTCCACTTTTTGACGACAACAACTATGTTGTAGTAAAAATTTATCTTAACTTTATGGTGGCATGAAACAAGTAATATAGAAGAGGTTAGGTTAGGAAAGATAAAGGTTAACAGGAAAATAAAGAATAGGTTAAAAACGAAAATTTTTGAGGAACACTCACGGTAGTAGAAGATGGGTCGGCATACGGGATGGAGGCTGGTTCGGAGGCAGAGGGCAGATTACTGCCCTCAGGTGAATCACCATTACTAGGTGAATCAATATCACTGTCACTACAGTTGTCATGGCTTCCTGGACAACCTCTCAAAATCAACTTCTACTATCACTATCACTGGCTTGGGCTGGCTGTGGTGGGGTTGCGGCGAAGAACTCGGTTATGCTTTGCTGACGGCTGGCTAGGTCAAGCGTCTCCTCCCTCCTCCTCCCCCGGAGTCACGCCATAATACTTTAAGCCAATTACAGCTAGCAGCAGAGGGGGGTAGGGCTGCATGGCCAATCACAGTCCGAGACGCCATATGACGCCAGTGATAACGCTAACAAAGACACACACTGCGCACCTACCACGGCCGCTACCTGCCGGGAGGGAGGAGGAGGAGAGGCAGGCGAGCGGGTGGGTGGCAGGGCGGTAGCAAAATCTAAAAATAGCATCCGAGCCGACACACTCACCGCGTATATGTGGAAAAAACCCGCTAAGTGAAAGTTCAGCTTTGGCAAGGCACCGCAGATATGCGAAATGTTATGAAAGCGCTTGCTGCAAAACTGTACTGTACTGTAATTAATACCATACTGCACTTGTTTCATTGTTTTAGGCTGAAAGAACTAGGCCTTCGTCTCAACTGGTCTGGTGGTGTTGGGGTGAGTGCGGTGGCTGGGCTGAGGGAGAACATTCGACAGGTGGCCATAGGTCCATCTCACATTGCAGTACTCACGGAAGATGGCCGCGTGGCTCGTCTGGTCTTCTCCATCAACACCGATGCTCTCGACCTTAATAAAGCTGACCACAAACAGGGGTACGTAAAAACTCTCTATATACTCCAGCAATTGCTTCCCTAACATAACTGTGCTTCTCTACCTTCACTGTGCTTCGCTGCCTTCACTGTGCTTCTCTACCTTCACTGTGCTTCTCTACCTTCACTGTGCTTCTCTACCTTCACTATGCTTCTCTACCTTCACTGTGCTTCTCTACCTTCACTGTGCTTCTCTGCCATCTCTGCTTCTCTGCCTTCTCTGTGTTTCTGTACCTTCACTGTGCTTCTCTACCTTCACTGCTTCTGCCTTCTCTGTGTTTCTACCTTCACTGTGCTTCTACCTTCACTGTGCTTCTCTGACATCTCTGCTTCTCTGCCTCTCTGTGTTTCTACCTTCTACTGTGCTTCTCTGCCATCTCTGCTTCTCTGCCTCTGTGTTTCTGCACCTTCACTGTGCTTCTACCTTCACTGTGCTTCTCACCTTCACTTGCTTCTCTGCCTTCTCTGTGTTTCTCTACCTTCACTGTGCTTCTCTACCTTCACTGTGCTTCTCTTACCTTCACTGCTTCTCTGCCTCTCTGTGTTTCTCTCACCTTCACTATGCTTCTCTACCTTCCACTGTGCTTCTCTACCTTCACTGTGCTTCTCTTGCCATCTCTGCTTCTGCCTTCTGTGTTTCTCTTTCACTGTGCTTCTCTACCTTCACTATGCTTCTACCTTCACTGTGCTTCTACCTTCACTGTGCTTCTCTGCCATCTCTGCTTCTCTGCCTCTCTGTGTTTCTGTACCTTCACTGTGCTTCACCTTCACTTCTACCTTCACTGTGCTTCACCTCTCACTGTGCTTCTGGCTTCACTGTGCTTCTCTACCTTCACTGTGCTTCTCTACCTTCACTGTGCTTCTCCACCTTCACTGTGCTTCTCTACCTTCACTGTGCTTCTCTACCTTCACTGTGCTTCTGCTACTTGACCTTCCCTTTTCAACAAACAGGGTGGGTACAGTATTAGGTACAGGGTGGGTACAGTAATAGATACAGTGTGGGCACAGTACTGTGTTAGGTACAGTGTGGGCACAGTACTGTGTTAGGTACAGTGTGGGCACAGTACTGTGTTAGGTATAGTGTGGGTACAGTACTGTAGTTTTTAGCTATGTATTGTGTTGTTCAATAGTTAGTTAACTATTATTGTTAGTCTAGTTAGTTAACTATTATTGTTAGTTTAGTAGTTAGTTAACTATTATTGTTAGTTCAATAGTTAGGTAACTATTATTGTTAGTTCAATAGTTAGGTAACTATTATTGTTAGTTCAATAGTTAGTTAACTATTATTGTTAGTTCAATAGTTAGTTAACTATTATTGTTAGTTCAATAGTTAGTTAACTATTATTGTTAGTTCAATAGTTAGGTAACTATTATTGTTAGTTCAATAGTTAGGTAACTATTATTGTTAGTTCAATAGTTAGTTAACTATTATTGTTAGTTCAATAGTTAGGTAACTATTATTGTTAGTTCAATAGTTAGGTAACTTATTGTTAGTTCAATAGTGTTACTGTATTTCTGTTACTTCATAATCTAGGTACAATAGTTGTTATTGTTTGTTCATTAGTTAGGTAACTATTATTGTTAGTTCAATAGTTAGTTAACTATTATTGTTAGTTCAATAGTTAGCTATTATTTAGTTCAATAGTTAGTTAACTATTATTGTTAGTTCAATAGTTAGGTAACTATTATTGTTAGTTCAATAGTTAGGTAACTTATTGTTAGTTCAATAGTGTTACTGTATTTCTATTTTACAATCTAGGTACAATAGTTGTTATTGTTTGTTCATTAGTTAGGTAACTATTATTGTTAGTTCAATAGAGGTTAACTATTATTGTTAGTTCAATAGTTAGTTAACTATTATTGTTAGTTCAATAGTTAGGTAACTATTATTGTTAGTTCAATAGTTAGGTAACTATTATTGTTAGTTCAATAGTGTTACTGTATTTCTGTTACTTCATAATCTAGGTACAATAGTTGTTATTGTTTATTCATTAGGTAGTAATTAAATCCATGTTAACTAACAATGGCTGTTTACCATTTGTTTGTCAGCAGAAGTTGCAACAAGAGCAGTAGTCAGAGCAGCACCAAGTTGACGGCTCGCATGTCCACCGGCGGCCGGAGGATTGTTTGCACTTCTGGGTCTGGTGGAGTGCGTGGGCGGGGTGCAGGGGTCATCATGGGCTCATCGCGCCCCATGTTGCCTGCACAGTATGTCCCAGAGGAGCTGATATCCCAGGCTCAGGTGGTGCTTCAGGGCAGGAGCCGCAACCTTATTATCAGAGAGCTGCAGGTGCAGTATACAGTACATTAATTTGTTATTTCTCATAAAGCTTCACAAGTTTTGTTGTGATCACCAAAACAAGTCATAGACAACTACCATATGAAGTCACTTTATAGAAGAGATGGGGGTTGTTAACCAGTCAACAATAGTTACAGTTGTGGTATACAGTACTACAGTGGTTCCTCGTTTAATCTGGACGGTCGGAGTAACGAAATTTTGGTTAACGAATTAGCCCCATAAGGATTTACAGTCGATTGGACGAACAAAACTTTGATTAATTAAATCCTTACGACAAACAAGTTTTGTTGTGCGCATCAGCTGATCGGCTAGTCCGCTAATACTGTACAGTAACGTTTATGGTTACATTCGTTTCCAGTGGAGTAAATATAAAGAAAGTTGGTCTCTTGAATATTTTGTATTTTTTATATTGAATTTATTGGTCATTCTAATTTAGTTAACATATTGATAATATATACAGTACAGGAACAGTTTTTGTGTGCCAACCAGCTGATTGAATCACCCACCAATGCTTCTCAGTTTAACTTTGTTTACAGTGGAGTGAACATCCAGTTTGTTGGTCTCTGAATATTTTTGCATTAAAATTATTGGCCAGTCTGAAATTTTATTGATAATATACAGTGCAGAAATTATTATGAAACATGAAGAAGGCATTAGAACCAATGCACTCTAAAGAATATGGCATGTCATCATCGGCTGCCTCTACAATCAGCTGTTTGATATGTAAACAAAGCTGGCAGGAATACAACATACACACCTCAAAATAAGTTAAAATACAGTACAGTATTCTATTGTTTTTTATTTATTATTATACAGTACATTATACTGTACAGTACAGTATCATTTAGTTTATATTTAATGTTTTGTTAATTCTATTACCGGTATACAGTACTTTGTATGTATACTTTTTCTGTGAGTTGGAACAAATTACCCAATATCCCATTGAAATAATAGATTCGGTTAATGAACGACTGTGGAACGAATTGTGTTCATAACCGAGGGACCACTGTACAGTACAGGGGGCCCCCAATTTCGCGGATTTTATTTCGCAGTCTTCTATTATTCGTGGATGACACTCTGGATGTACCAAAGAATGTCTGTGAGTAGTTTTAAAGTTACTGGCATTTTTGCAGCTGGGACAGGGAGCCATTCATTCTAGACACAGTAATTTCTATGTGTGCAAGACAAAAATAAATAATATTGGGAAAATTCTTTCATTAAATAATCAGAAACGAAATTATTAAAAATGTGATAGTCTACCCTCAAGTCCGCGGCTTTATTACATTATTAATGAAGCGGCGAATTAAGGGTAGACTCACACTTTTAATAAATTTGTTTCAGATTAGTTGAGAGAATTTTCCCAATAGAGAGAGAGAGAGAGAGAGAGAGAGATTTTTTTAAATAAATAATTGTCCTAGGGGCAAAGGAATATAGCATTTTTGTACACAAGTTGAAATCCCCCTGCCCCCGTCAGCAAATGTTATTCAAGATGCGATTCTAGGTCATTTTTGAGAATCTAACCTCCGTGAATTTGGGGTCCCCTGTATTTAATGTTTCACTCGTCACAACTGTAGTACAGGCGGTATTGTCTGACAACTGTTTGTGGTCACCGTTGGACAACAAGTGAGAGACGTCGGTGTTGGTTAATATTTACCGTATTTGCCGGCATATAAGACGCACCCCTATTTTACGAGGATATTTTGTAGAGTATTTTTTTTGTATGTTTTGTCATACAATTATTGAAAGTGATTTTAAAGTGGTTTTGTATGGGAAAACATATGATTTTGTGCATGTAAATACAATATACAGTCAAGCCTCTGATGACAACGGTTCGATTCAACAACTTTTCATATTTAAGACCCTAGTTAATTTAGGACCCAGTTCAATTTACGTCCTTATTTCATTCGTATTTATTTACCAAAATATAATAAAATTAAATAAAATTACATTTTCATATAAATAAAACTAAATCCCAATATGTATTATAAAAAATATAAAATTACTATAAAAAAATGAGCGTTGTGCAAAGAAGCAGTTGCTTTATAATGAGTGGTAAACAACACTGAGCTTGTGCCTTTTGTTTTCACCCATCTGAACTGGAGAAAACTTTCTCAAGTTTCTTACAGCATTTTTGCATCCCTATTCAACATGAGCAAGAGAGCAACTGATGGTAGTGTTGTTTCAAAAGCTAATAGAAAGTGTATAAGCTTAGCCGAGAAACTAGATGTGTTAAAACGATGTGAAAAAGGTGAAAGGTCTGTGGATATTATATGGAGCAAGCAATGAACATATTTTCTAAAGTGGATTCATTAACAGAACAAAGCATTAAAATTTAAATAAATGCAAATGACCTTTACATAAAGATGTTGTTAGGTATTCTGCATAAGTTCTATATACAGGAGAGAACACAAACACCTGTATAGTTTTGTAGGTTCGGTTTACTGGATAAGAGTATGTACACAGAGGTGGATAGCACTGCTCCCTTGCTAAGGTCCTGGTCGACCACCATAGACTCCACGCATGGCAAGTGATACATTAGCAGCTTCCATAATGTCAGCAGGCATTGATGCTAATTGCCGTGTATATGTAATAACATTGCCACACGCCAAGTTAGGGGCTAGGCTGAATAAATATAAAATGGAGCAATATACATAATATACATACTACATAATCCAGCATACATAATATACATACACCTCCTCTATACTATAGCAAAGTCTTGAGCGACCTTTTTCGGATCCGCTCTGAGCGCCGAGGGACTCGTATCATCACTGGAAGTGCGCGACTCCAACACTGGTGGCGGCCAGCAGAAGGCAGTGTTACGGGCGGAGAGAAAACGCGTTCCTCCACCACACCTACCTCACTGGCAAACGCATCTGGTAGTCCCGCGTGACCCGTCGCAGACCCATGACTACTCTTCTACTTTGTCCCAACGTAGGGAGGTCGGGTCCTGAACACGACTTGGGTGCCGGCCACTCAAATCTGGGGAGAGAACTGGCGTGGTCGGGCATGGGCGCATTTACGCCCTGAACACGCTCGGGCGGCTCGGCTTATCACAACTTCCTTCTGTCTTGGCCTGCCAACACCCTGGAGAAGGATTGGCTGAGGGTGAGCATAGGGACACAAGAAACTAAGGGCGCCCATACAAAACCTGGGCAGGGAGCGCCCGTGTAAGCAAGAAAAAGGCGGAGTTCAAGAAGACCAACAAGGCCTCGCAGTCATTACCCCAAAAGGGGGCCACCTTAAGCGATGAGGTGCTTCAAAGATTTGACAGCAGCCTCAGCGTGGGCCGCTGGATCGCGGGTAATGGGCGATGACAACACATGCCGGACTTATCGTCAAGGAACGCAGCAAAGTCCCGCTTAGAACTGAGGTTCTCCGCCGGTTCGCAGGGCGCATAGGAACGCCACGCCACGAAGTAGTAGGCGAACTTGCTGATGGTATGCAGACGCCGTAAGGTCACACGCTTTGGATGACAACCGCCAACCAGAGAGACGGTCGACGATAACCAGGAAGGACTTTCCTGACACACAGAAAAGTCGGCTTCATTACAGACTCGCTAAAGGGGCGGTGGGGTTGTCGCCACTGGCGAAGGGTACCTGCTGCTGGCTGGGTTGTAATACGGCGGGCTTACACACCTGACAGCATTGGAGATGTCGGGCCCATGCCAGCCGAACACAGCCCGTCGTGCACGCCGCTTGGTGGCCTCAGCTCCACGGTGACTGCCGTGGAAGGGGCGCAGCCAAGGCGTGGGGACGCGGATGCAGCAGGGACAACTACCGGGCGAGTCACTAGCCAGAGTGTAGGGTAGGGCGGCAGCAGGGTAGTTGCTGCTGCCCTCTGCGGCACCCTGTTGGCTTGTCTTACCAAGAATAGGTTTGGGAAGTCCTGGGAGATGATGGTGGCCAACTCTTGACAATGTCTGTAGGACAGCAAAGGAGCCGACACCGCTATGCACATCAATCCAGGCTTGACACCTACCTGTTGCCAAAGGTGACTTGTGCTTGGAGTGAACCCAGTCGGGTCATCTGTGAACCATCTGCCATAAAGCCGAGATCCTGGGGCGTCCTAGATCACTTTGAGAGAGCCCCAAGCATTGCAAAATGCTGGGGACCGGCGACTGTAGCATCAGCCGTGTGTCGGGCAACATCTGGAGACGGGATGGCACACTGCGTAGGTCACAAATGACACTGATGTACTGGGAACTTTGGTCCTGACGCTGGGAGCAATACATTCCTAATATGGCTCCAGCGCTGTCCAGGTCGCCGCGGCTCTGATTGGGAGACTGTGGGCGCCCCTTCTCTGGTAGAAGGGCCGAAGCCCGCGATGTTCCTTGCTGTTGGAAGGGCAACACTTGTCATAGTGGGCCCAGACGGCAGCATTACTGCACTGGACGCGCTTGGCTGGGCAATCGCATCGTGAGTGACCAGCGGTTCCTTACGGTCACAACTGTTGCAGGTAGACTGAGCAGCTGGACATACCTGTGTTCCGCGCTGCTTACCACACAGTTGTTGCAAAATGAACCGGCGTGGACGTGCGTGGGCTTAAGGCGAGGAGCAGACTTCTTGTCCTTCTTGTACCGGAAACAGCTGCATACAGCTGTAGGGGAGCTCGATGGCAGAGGTGGCACACCTGGCAGCCTCATAGAGCCACATATCACACCACATCCTGAAGAGAAGAGGAAGATTTAGGAGGTGAGGCGCTGGACAAGTTCCTCGCCCCTAACACCCATCAGGGATCACCTGTTTCCAACTGGGTCTCCTCGCGACTGCTGGTGGTGGCCTAAACATATATCTACTCCCTTCCCAGGCCTCTTAAGACGCATACAAAAGCGCCAAAAAAGACTCACCCTCCATCTGTCTGCAGCTAACACCCTCCTACAGCAGAGCTTCATTCTGTTGTCCTTGATGTGCCAAGCAGAACAACGCCCAGTACCTCCTCTACAGACAGCTTAAGAGGTTGGGGGTACCTGCAACGTATGTTCTAAGACA